AAGATACTGTTCTTTAGAAAAACAAGGAGGCTACCATAATCATTCTACAATTCCTAGTTGCCTGGCTATCATGCCTTCTGTTTCAATACTTAAATCACTGACTCAGAACAGGTATGCATAAAAGGACTCCTAAAATTGATATGCATACTGGTTCCAGGTAAATAACTCCAAGTAATACAGCAAAATAGTTAACATAACAACCAGGCAGATATAATTATCAGTAGGGGGGCAGCAATGGCAGCCCCATATTTTCTGTTACTTTAAAATATTGTCATTTGTTCTAGAAAGTGGGTCAAGCCATGAAATGAGTCCTGATTACAACTGTACTCAATCCGTTATCATCATCCTTGGCTTCTGCTCTATACAGAGGTGATTGCATTACTATTTTGAACAAGCCAGTTTTACCGGCTACCACGCAACCATGTAGTAAAATATCATATAACTTTGCATAGCACAGTTCCCATTATGTATAATTTGATGGGAACAGAGCAGGGAAAGCTGCACAGCTGTTGTGACTGCTTTTAATAATCCATTTCTTTTTATTTAATGCCAGCCTTGCAAATAGGAATACTTACAGTGAGAAACTACCTACTTCCCACCATACATAAAATGTAGAATTACTTTAAAACATTCTTGATATTTTTTTTTAAATAAGAGATATGGGTAATTATTTACAGACAGGAAAACAAGACTTCGTGGTCATATTTTTCAGCATTATAATGATTATTCTAAAAGAAGAATAACTAAAATAGTGCTATTGCATGCAATTTCAGACAATTTTTTGTGAAAATATACTTTTTAATTGTCCTTGCTTTTAATTGTTAGACAAATATGGAATCATTTAAAAAAATCCCAAGTCCAGCCTGGGAAAAATATAAATGTCTTCAGCAACATTTTTAATATGAAAATGCAGATCTGGCTGTTATACCTGCCTCTGGTGCTGTCACTCACAGGCTCACCAACTCACCAGTTCAATGTTGCCCTTTTTCCAAGTTGAATGACATATTCATACATCTTATTGAAAACACTGTAAAATGAACAGGGCTTAATCTTTTTCCTGATTCTGAAACTTTGACATGTATACAATTTTTATAATAACAAACCTGTACACAAAAAGCATATGCTACACTTGCATCAAGCAAGAAGGGCACAACTGGCACTGGGCTTTGGGTCTAGGAGGGAAACTCCAACAACTTGCAGTAGATCAAATGTAGGTACTGTGGGCCAGACTGGTGCACAGAACTGGTAGTGGCTCACAATCACAGCTCACAGAGATTAGGGTGGCTCCTGGAGATTAGAATCAGGGAACTCAATCTCCACAGCTGGTTCTGGCTGCAGGAGTAGATCATAGCACAGAATCAGTACTTGTTGCTGTTACTTCTGGCTGCAGAAATATGTTAGTGGCAGAGATAGTTCTGGTGCAGAAAGAATGTCCAAGTGACCCAAAGTTGACATCAGAGGTGATAGCGCAAAGAGATCTCGACAGTCGCGTCCTTTACCCTCCTATTGGCAGCCTTGCCAGTGGGTGGGGACAAAGTCTGGCTGCCTATTCAGCCTATTAGAGTTCTCCTTTCTCCTGTCCCTGCACTACTGTCCTATTAGAAGTGGAGAGGAGAGAGGCTACTGTGTTTAGAATGCTTGGGCTGTATGGAACTCATGGTTTAAAAGTGCAGCTAGCCAGGGCAGTGGATGGACAATCTTTTGTGGATGGAGGTTTGCATATCCTCCCCTTATCAACACTTTTGTTCCAAGGCACAAGACAAAGGGTCGTCCTACTGAAATTGTAGTTCTCTAGTAACAATTGGATAGGGGCTCCCCATAGCAGCTGGGTCTTCTGGAGAAGCTGACTACTATTAGGCTCTGGTTCAACAGCCTGCAAGCCAGTTCAGACAGTAGAGGACTGCTCACCTGGCTGCAGATCTCTTCATCAGGCAGATCCTTTCTGAGCTGCTTAGGGAGTGATGTATAGAAATTTTACTTTCCTGGATATGTCAAAGAAGACAGAAATTTTTGGGAAAAGGAGAAAAACGGCATGTGCCTGCATCTGAGTGAGGAAATGGACCACACTAATACTAGAAGTCATACACCATTGAAGTTATTGGAATTTTTAAGCTAGCAAAATACTTTTCAGAGTTATATAAAGAAAACACCTGCTTCCATGGTGTCACTGCCTTGCTGGCCAAAACACTGAAGAACCAAGCTTGTCAGTGAAAGGAAAGGTGGCAAAACAATGCATCACTGATCTGCCAATGAGGGAGCAATGCCAGAAATTAGATGAGTGTTTTCTTGCCCTCATAGCAACCTTGTTGGAACTAGATCTCTAGTGTGAGAAGAGCCTTAAGGCCCCCATAGATGGCGCAAATGTCAGCAGGGACTGAGCCATGGGTGGCCTTGCAGGTACCACCTAACAAAAAATTGAAGTAAACAGTTTTAAAGGTGTAAAATTATCAGCTGAACTGTGACTGAGAGCTGCAGCTGCCTGAAAACAGTATAGATCCCTTCCAGGGGTGGACTGACAACTTATGGGGCCCCCGGGCAATAGGGGATCATGGGGCCCCTGTGTCCTTGCCCAAACTCAAAAAAGCCTATGAAAAAGGTACCAGGGGCATCTCATGGGGCCCCCTACTGACCCTGGGCCCTCGGGCAGTGCCCGAATTTCCAAATGGTCAGTCAGCCCCTGATCCCTTCATGTATGTTTTTAAGAAACGGTAAATCAATTCTATCCCTGTCTCACTGGGCTGAACAGCCTAAATTTGAGCTGCCTATGCCCAGCCTTAATGTAAACCTGGCTGTAAATGTATAGATTCCTTTCATTCAGCCTGTGTGCTTACAGATTCCTCCATCCATGCTAATCAACACAGATGGATGAATCTCCCACTGCAGCTATTGAGTTCTGACAGTGCCACTGGCTCAGAACACCCAATCAGTGCCAGCACATACTGTTTGGCTGGCAATTCTCCACCTTGCTACTTTGACAAATATTAATTAAAAAATCAACTTTTGTCAATTCAGGTGTTTCCGACAGGGCAATCATTGAATCATTTTGGGCCGATTCAGCAGGAAGCATGTATGGCCAACTTAACTCTTCTGAGGCTCCTCTGAATGTTATCAGTCTCCTCACCCCAGTTGTTCTATTTTCATTTTTTCATGGTACAAACTTCTCAGACTTGTCAGTGCAGATTGTATTTGCTGTACACAACGGATATTATATAATTACATTCCAGGAGGCGATATACCAGCTGCAATTAAAATACATCTAGCAAGTGAAAGTTCTTGTATAACAGCAGAAACATGCCATAGAAAGGGAGCTGAGCTTTGATCAGTGCCTTGAATACAGAGAACCTGTATAAACAGACTGGGCTGTATGGGGCAGTTTTTTAGACATGCAGGACAGAACAGCTGAAAGCCAGTGGTTATAATCCTGGCATAAATACACACAGTGATCCAACTATATCAAGTCCTTAGGCAAACTAAATATTGTCTCTTCTTCTATTTGGTTCATAAGGTAACAATTAGCCTTTGAAAAAGTTGGCTTTGATGTGCCCCAGTTATCAAGAGGAAAAAATGTTCACTGATAGATAAAATGCTGATGACTGCAAAAGGAAACTCAGTTCTTAAAACGACAACTTAACCACTTCCTTGCTGCATGATTAATATGTTTGAGAGGCCTTAGTCTAAAAGTGGAGGGTGGATGATTTTAGGATGTCTGATAGTCAGTCCACCCAAAGTGACATTTATTGCTATATTCCGCTCCCTTCCTTTCCCTGTCAATGAAGAATTTATTGTTTGTCTTTGCATACGCTCGCAAACAGTAATACTTGCCTTACTCCATGATCCTGTGACAGCCAATAGTCCAGTACTCCAACTCTCCAATGTTGTATTGTTGGCAGGTGCTCCAACCAGTGGCTTAGTCCTATCCAAATGACTGAAACCAGTCATCACAACCAAAAACATTGGGACCATGGTTATTGTTACTGTGTACTAGCCCATACCCTTAAAAAATAAGCAATATATTTTTCCTGTGCAAAGGAAGTTAGGAGAATATAACTATGTAACTTTTTAATGTGGACTTTACATTTGTGGGATCCTGCTGAACAAGGTTCCACCTAGACATGAGTCTCAAAATATTACCGATAAGATGCAAACTGGAGGTCCTCATATTAAGAAGCCACACATACCTATATATGGGCAACAATGATAGTTTATGTATTATTGCACATTAACCCATATAACCATATATCTCCTCACATACTAAAGGTTGTACTCAAGGATACATATCAATAGTTGTTGCCCTCAGTGGGGTCCAGCAGGTCTGTTTCAAAACAGAATAATAAAGGAACCTTAAGAAATCAATGCAAACAATAAAACTATAAGCATTATAGTTAAAGTGTGTACACCAAAAATATAACATAACACATAATACCATATATAATATATATATACTGTATACACTATATTGCCAAAAGTATTGGGGGGCTTACCTTTACATGCACATAAACTTTAATGGCATTCCAGTCTTAGTCCTTAGGGTTCAGTATTGAGTTGGCCCACCCTTTGCAGCTATAGCAGCTTCAACTCTTCTGGGAAGGCTGTCCACAAGGTTTAGGAGTGTGTCTATGGGAATGTTTGACCATTCTTCCAGAAGTGCATTTGTGAGGTCAGGCACTGATGTCAGATGAGAAGGCCTGGCTTGCAGTCTCCACCCTAATTCATCCCAAAAGTGTTCTATTGGGTTGAGGTCAGGACTCTGTGCAGGCCAGTCAATTTCCTCTACCCCACATTCACTCATCCATGTCTTTATGGACCTTGCTTTGTGCACTGGTGCTCAGTCATGTTGGAAAAGGAAGGGGCCATCCCCAAACTGTTCCCACAAAGTTGGGAGCATGAAATTGTCCAAAATGTCTTGGTATTCTGATGCCTTAAGAGTTCCCGTCACTGAAACTAAGGGGCCGAGCCCAACCCCTGAAAACCCCACACCATAATCCCCCCTCCACAAAACTTTACACTTGGAACAATGCAGTCAGGCAAGTACCGTTCTCCTGGCAGTAGCCAAACCTAATCCATTGGATTGCCAGACAGTGTCTAGACTCTAGAGTCCAGTGGAAGCGTGCTTTACACCATTGCATCTGATGCTTTGCATTGTGCTTGGTGATGTAAGGCTTGGATGCAAGGATGTAAGGCTGCTGCTTGGCCACGGAAATCCATTCCATTAAGCTTTCTACGCACTGTTATTATGCTGATCTGAAGGCCACATGAACTTTGGAGGTCTTTAGCTATTGACTCTGCAGACAGTTGGCGACTTCTGCGCACTGTGCGCTTCAGCATGCACTGACCCCGCTCTGTAATTCTACGTGGCCTACCACTTCATGGCAGAATTGCTGTTGTTCCCAGTTGCTTCCAGTTTGTTATAATACTACTAACAATTGGCTGTGGAATATTTAGTAGCAAGGAAATATCACGGATGGACTTCTTGCACAGGTGGCAACCTATCACAGTACCACGCTTGAATTCATTGAGCTCCTGAGAGCGACCCATTCTTTCACAAATGTTTGTAGAAGCAGTCTGCATGCCTAGGTGCTTGATTTTATACATTTGCAGCCATTGAGGTGATTGCAACACCTGAATCCAATGATTTGGAGGGGTGTCCCAATACGTTTGGCAATATAGTGTATATATGTATATATATATATATATATATATATATATATATATATATTTTATATCTCAACAAACTAAAATGTTTTTGTTAAGGAGATTTTTGGGACCTGACCAAAGGTGCACAGTGCCATAGTTTGATTAGGTGACATGCTCAGAGTAATATAGGGTTCGTGGGGAAGTTGTACTCTAACCATGGGGGCCATATTTTAAGGAATTTGGAATTGGTGGGTGTCGTTGAGAATGGCTGTAAGTTTTTTGTGCACTATGGTGCCCATGACCCTTTGCCTTACCTGCAAAATTTAGAGTTAGCTGTTTCCAAGCTTTGGCTAATGTTTGCCAGATGGCAAGAATGTATTAATTTCCTTTCATTTTTAAAAAGATTGGAAGTTGGCATGTGTAGCAAACCTCCCAGGGGGCCTGGATTAGGTTTCGGATAAGGGATGATCTTGAGAAGCAAGTTGGAGAGGCATTGGGAGTAAGTTTAGGAATGCAGACAGGAGCATCCAAGATCTTGTTCCATTCTTCTGTGTCTAGTGACTCTCCCAAATCGATTTCCAGTTTTTCCATATATTAAAGCTCCATATTCCACCAAGATACCAATTGGATTGCTAGTAAGCACATTCCAAATGGTTCTGAGAGCTAAAAGTTGATTCAGTGATTCAAAGCAATAAAGGTGTATGGCCAGCATAGTGCCATGATTAGTACTATGCATATAGAACTTTTGCTTCACCCATGACCTGTCTTTTTTTAAATGGTCATGAGCATATTTTAGTTGGATTTACAGCGTGTGTAGTTCCCTAATTGTGAATAAGACATGTTTCTTTTATCATGATCGCCAGCAAAACAGCTGAACATTCTCCTAGATTGCATTACACAGCTAGGAGATAATTTAGTTATAGTGAAGAACATCCCCCAAAGAGAAGGTTCAGGGTCATCTAAGGGAAACCCTAATTATGTCTTTGTGTTCCTGACTATAGACTTTTACATAGATTTTTGATTAGGAATGGTATTTTGTTTTGTTCTGCATCATAGCTCGAAAAGGCCATCCAAGATTAAAATATTTTGATATCATATTTTACTTAATACTTAAATGTTTTCCGTTTCTGAAGTGCAGCTAACCCATAAAAATCCCACCAGAAAGGCCATTGGCAACACATAAAGTGGAACTAAACCTGGCTGTGGTTAGAGACCTCTTGTCATGTTCATAACAGACATTGTAGGCAGGGGCGGACTGACCATTTGGAAACTTGGGCACTGCCCGAGGGCCCAGGGTCAGTAGGGGGCCCCATGACATGCCCCTGGTACCTTTTTCATAGGCTTTTTTGAGTTTGGGCAAGGACACAGGGGCCCCATGATCCCCTATTGCCCGGGGGCCCCATGGGTTGTCAGTCCGCCCCTGATTGTAGCAGACTTGCCTTGGAGACTGCTCCCCTCCAGTACTGACGACAGGTTCATGTGTACTGTCCCTGCTCCATCTTCACCACTACCATTTCCTCTGGTGCTTCTTCCAGACTGGACGCTTCTCTTTTTGGCCATTAGCCTATTGGTCTAACGATGAAATGCCAGTGCACTGTACTTTGTGATCACACAGTTAATAAAAAGCTAAGACACAGGTTAAGAATTTTTTTGGCAGAAAAAATATACAAAGTCCATTCCACCCAAAAGCGCTATCTACCAGTAATTAAATTTTCAGCTTTAGTTCTGATTTAAAAGGAGAGCTCCAGCTGCATGACAAAATTATAAATTTCCTGCATCATTTTATTGTAATATTCTTGAAGAGGACCTGTATTGAGAAGAAATAAACCTCTCTTTCTGAAAATACAAGTTACCTTGCTGTCATAATGATCCAATGGCTTCAACATGTTCTAATTGACCCAAAACAAGTATACAAATCAGAAACTTTGACTTTTCTCTGACTGCCTGATCTGTTTACTTGTTGCAAGTCTCAAAAATACTGAAACCAAAGACAACCAACTTACTTTTTCAGAAAGAGGTCAGTAGCAGCTACCTGAATATTTCCATAATATATTGCTTTAAAACAAACCTGTGCTTTGCTTTTTTAGGTAAAGCCAATAGGTTGCCTTTATTACTCACGTTCCTAGAAACACATACTCACCTTGTCTTTAATCTGCCTATCCTCCATTCAGTCCTGGGAGCCAAAGAAAATACCCAGTACTTCCAGGTATGGAGGAACATATGACATTGCTGGGCCAATCCTGAAACTCCATAGACATGTTGAGCAACAACTTGCACTATACACAGGGCTTTCCCTTCCCACCCATTGACTGAACAGATCACCGTTGGAGAATCGAAGGTAAATATTATGTCTATGAAGGTCTGCATCATCTTTAACCTGAACAGGCATAGCACAGATTCACTTTAAAGCAGAACTCCAGGCATTTATCAGAGCAATGCACAATAGCACCTAATGAGCAGCTGTCTGGATTTCTGAAGATATGAATTCCAGTTAGCTAGGCAAAAGTAGTCATTAGAATTGAGCTATTAAGAATACTCTTTCAGTAAAGACTTTGCAACAAAACAATAATTCAACCGTATGCACAAAACACAGGATGGAGGACAAACTAGCAGTCTCAATGGGAGTATGTTGTTTTAAGCTCACCACGCCATTGCAGTAATGCACATTACATGCACTGATGTGCTATGGTGCCATTCATTGTGAATGATACTTCTACACACCTCCAAAACGCACTGTGCAATAAAATGCAAAGAGCACTTATATTTCATACATTGAGGTACGTTGGAGTCCAATGGACTGCCCAACACAGGGCACCACAATGTGCATCAATTATAATAAATTGGTATTTTCTTTTTAAGGAGAATCTGTCACCTTGCTTATTCATGGCAAAGTATATTTGCAAAGGGGTTCCTTGACCCACTGATGCTCAACGTATTAGAGATTTTCCACCTGTCCTTCTTTCACAGTTGGCAATAATACATCATGTTTGGGCAGAACCGTGACAAAATGGTTAGCACTTCTGCCTGGCAGTACTAGGGTTGTTGGTTTAAATCCCAGCCATAGCACCTCCAGCCTGGAGTTTGCATGTTCTCCCTGTGCCTGTGTGGGTTTCCTCTGGGTACTCCGGTTTCCTCTCACACTCCAAAGACATGCTGGTAGATTAATTGCCTCCTGTCTAAATTGGCCCTACTATGTGTATGTATGAATGTGAGTTAGGGACCTTAGATTGTACACCGCTTAAGGGTTAGGGACTGATGTGAATATACAATATATGTATGCGCTGCGTAAATTTACGGTGCTATATAAGTACCTGAAATAAATAAATGGTTGTGGGTATGGGAGAGGATGTGACCCGGGCTCTTTTGACAGTGCGGGGGGCCTAGCAGCTAGTTGCTTCATCCTGAGCACTGTCATGTGACATGGGAAACTACATCACCATGCCCCCTAGTGTCTGACACCAGTCAAAACTGGGGATTTTAGTCCTGGCTAGAAATGGTTTGGGGGGTACTGGCAAGGTGAGTATAAGTGGGTGGGGAAGCCTTTTGCAAAGACAAGGTCACTTTGCCAAAAAAAAATGTTTTGAATGTTAAAAATCACATCTGTCAATACATAGGGAGCTGCGATCAGCATGAGTCCATCAAGAAATGAATTGTCAGAAATAATGTGGCATGCTTAGTATTTTTTTGACGCCTAGGGATCATCTATGCAACAAATTTATTTTCAGCAATGATAATGAAATTAAATATTATTATTATTATTATTATTATTAATAATAATATCAATGCCAGAAAAGAAGGACAGACAGTGAAAAACTGTAGTGTTCCCGCACCTTGGTGGTCAGTGAAGAAATGGCCACATACATTAGTCAGTGGAAAAGTGCCCATTTGCAAAAGCAAATGGGTATTCGGTGCTGGACTCAACATTTCATCCATCATCAAGGAGAAATACTTGCACTTGTCCAGACCTTGGCAGCTCTACCACAAAGCGGAGCAATGGCCTCCACTGAGAAATACAAGTGAAAGAGCACCAGATAGTTGTCTTAAGACTCCATATTAAATTATAACTAATAACATTGAGTCACATGAAAAATAAAAGGTAGCCATCTATCACGTGACTCAATTTTACCAGCAATATATTAATGTGGACTCTTAAGACAACCACCTGACCTAAATTTTTTGCCGATTTCACCTGCATTGGCAGTCAGATCATTGATGATGATTGGTGTAGTTGCATCTCTCTTGTATCAGTGGTCAGTTAAATGCTAATGGTGGTCATTGAAGAAGGCCCCTCTTGGATTAGTGGCTAATTGAAGAAGGACATCATTACTAATGTTGGTAAATGGGAACAATGTTCCTTACATTGGTGGCCAGTGGGATACATTTTCCTTCCATTGATGGTCAGTGTTTAGAATGTATAAAGATGATTGGTGCTGGAAATTGCTGATTGCTCAAGGAACCTCTAGTAGCCTCTGGAAGAACCCCTGGATTCCACGCTGGAACCACGCTTGAGAAAGGCTACATTAGGTTGACGTTGATGAAGGTTGATGAAGAAGCACAATTTCTGCCAAACAGTACATATGAACAAAAAATCAGTTCACTCATTACTGAACATTGTGTTTTATCCATGTTTTGTCCATTTTAGCATGTTGTTGCATAATACATCTCTATGCAGACACAAGCTGCTTTTATCACTGTCTTCATTATACACATAAAGCTTGTCTTTGTATGCGGTGAGGAACTGGATCAGAACAAGCATCATGATGATGTGATTTTCTGTGTCCCAGCAGACACCCATAAAGAAACATTTCTTCTTTTGATTATATTCTTGTATGTGTGTTGCTCTCTGGAGATCTGTTATTGGCCAGACATATTCCATGGATGAAAACTCCAGGTGCCTTCATAAAATAGTTTCCCTGCAGCGCTTAAAGAACTACAGCCAG